GTTTGAGAGCAATCTATACTAGGGGGAGATCAGCGGAACATCATAGGATGCATCGCCATACACCCAAGCATCAAAAACAGCAAAAAGACAAGTTTTAGAGCATTATACACAAGGGGGAGATCAGCGGAACATCATAGGATGCATCGCCATACACCCAAGCATAAAAAATAGCAAGAAGACAAGTTAAAGACCAATCTACACTAGGGGGAGATCAGCGGAACATCATAGGATGCATTGCCATACCCCCAAGCATCAAAAACAGCAAAAAGACAAGTTTGAGAGCAATCTACACTTGGGGGAGATCAGCGGAACATCATAGGATGCATCGCCATACACCCAAGCATCAAAAACAGCAAAACGACAAGTTTGAGAGCAATCTACACTACGGGGAGATCAGCGGAACACCCTAGGATGCGTCGCCATACACCCAAGCATCAAAAATAGCAAAAAGACAAGTTTGAGAGCAATCTATACTAGGGGGAGATCAGGGGAACATCATAGGATGCATCGCCATACACCCAAGCATCAAAAACAGCAAAAAGACAAACTAGAGAGCAATCTACACTTGGGGGAGATCAGCGAAACATCATAGGATGCATCGCCATACCCCCAAGCATCAAAAATAGGAAAAAGACAAGTTTGAGGGCAATCTACACTAGGGGGAGATCAGCGGAACATCATAGGATGCATCGTCATACACCCAAACATCAAGAACAACAAAAATACAAGTTTCAGAGCAATCTACACTAGGGGGAGATCAACGGAACATTATAGGATGCATCGTCATACACCCGAGCATCAAAAACAGCAAAAAGACAAGTTTAAGAGCAATCTACACGAGGGGGAGATCAACGAAACATCATAGGATGCATCGCCATACCCCCAAGCATCAAAAACAACAAAAAGACAAGTTTGAGAGCAATCTACACTTAGGGGAGATCAGCGGAACATCATAGGATGCATCGTCATACACCCAAGCATCAAAAACAACAAAAAGACAAGTTTGAGAGCAATCTACACTAGGGGGAGATCAGCGGAACATCATAGGATGCATCACCATACACCCAAGCATCAAAAATAGCAAAATGCTCATTTAACTTAGATGACATCAACATGGAAGTTGCGATTCACACCCAAGTGAGAGGACAAGCGAAACATGAAGAATATGAGATAAATTCACAAGCTTGAGCTCACATACACTAGGGGAAGAGTTGCGATTCACATGGGAGTGAAGAAATAGACAAAACATGCACTCTACATCACCAAAACACTAGATGACATCAACATAGAAGTTGCGATTCGCACCCAAGTGAGAAGACAAGTGAAACTAGAAGAATAAGAGAGAAATTCACAAGTTTGAGCTCATATACACCGGTGGCGGATCCCATTGCCTGTAAGCTGCGATTTGGGACGCTTGCTCGGAACGACCTTTTGACGCAGTGAGATTGTGTACTTGTGTGCCTGTCTAATAGCCGGGGAAGAGTAGCCGAAGGTGGACGCTACATCATCTACGTCATCCAAGTTATCTACAACATCTTGTCCCTACGTCATCTTCGCAACGCTCTCCTTGCGTATCTTCGCACATACGGGTGTATCTGGGCGCGAAGGTGGACGGGTGCGCCTGCTACGGCGCGCAAGCGAAATTGCATGTGTCATACCCCTCTTACGGGTGCGGCGCTCTACACATCGGGTGGGATATAGAGGTTGTCCACCTACCTCATGTTCTAGCGCTTCTGGACCTCTGAGCTACAGACCGATACAAAGTTCAACGAAGTGAAGAACAAGATTAGCCTGGGCCTTGGGTGGATACTGTTTGCTTTCTCCGTACTGAGTCGTATGTACGGAAGAAGCCGCAACGGGAGCCGAGGAGCTAGGCGTGGCCGCTGGTCGAGCTGTGGTCGGTACTGGACGAACATGAATGGCGGACATCAGATGCCAGATCAAGCTGGTACCGGGCAGTATAATCGTCCGCCTGCGCCTCCGGGCATTGTGCCAACGTATGTTGTGCCCACTATACAAGCGCAAGGTGCGCAACAGCAGCTACCGTCGGTGCAACAACAGGTATCTCCGGCGAATGCAGCACTATCCGTCCCTGTGAATAGCGAAACTCACCCGCAGTATGTTATGCCACCGATTGCTGCACCATGGGCTATGCAGGCGTTGCCGACCACTGCGCAATGGCCTGCTGCCATTCCATGGCAAATGCCCCCTGCTGGGAATCCTCTTCCTCTACCTCTTCCTCAACCATCTAATGTGCAATTACCTAGCGTCCAAGTACCAAGCGCGCAAAATGGTGATCTTCCCGGTTCCAGAGCTCAGACAAATGGTGATGGCCGATCGTCTAATCAAAACCATGAGAAAGGTCCGGCTGCGAATGCTTTTCTAGGCCCAGGTAACCGGGCATATTTTACAAAAAAATACATGGACATCTTGGAGGATATAAAGTCGGAAAAAGATCTCGACGCTGCGAAGAGGAAGATTTCTGGAGGCAGGATGGGTGGCGTGCGGATTTCGGACAGCACAAACGAGAGCTGTAGGTCGGAAGTCCGCTCGAACAGTAAGACCGACGATATGAAGGCATGGGTTACTTCGACCCTCGAAGATTCACTGAAGTTAATCACCCAGAAGCTTGAGGAAGTGGACTCCAAATCCAAGCTGGTGGCCACCGAGAAGGAGGAGCTAATGCGACTAAGAGCGGAGAAGGCTGCCCTCGATAAGGTCAACAAGGAAGCGAGTAGCGAGAAGCGAAAGCGGGTGGCTGCTGTAGCGCCTGCTGCTGTGACGCCTTCCAACAACGCGAAGTCCGGATCGAGAGGAAGTTCGAAAGGGAGATCGCGCCGAGTTGAAATCTCCTCTGACAAGGAAGACACTGATATCGGTCAGGTGCGACAAAACTTGAGTGAAAAACTGGAGGAGAGCAGTGACTTATCCAAGGTGAAGAAGGTGCTGGCCGCGATCGCACAAAGTCTCGCCGACGTCAAAGGCAAGCAGCCGACAGTGGATCCTAAGGAACAGCCTGTCAAGGAGCATGAAATGGAGGAAGACGACAATGAAGATGTGGACGTTGCCGTGAACATCCCTGACCATGAGGAAGAAGAGATTGACGAAGGCGGGTTGGCCGCGTATATGAAGATGCGGCAGGACTTCTACATGTCCTTGCATTATACGAGGGTGCAGGAGTTATGCAAGTAGAGAGAAATTTCTTACTTTCGTAAGGAACCATCAGCTTGGGAATTAGCGAGGTTGGATCTGCAAGAATACGCGGACCAACTAAATGGTAATGCCCCAAATGGGGTGAACGTTGGGAACAGGGGCGTTGAGCCCTCTCGCAAGATAACTGCGAGGAACTGTGATAACCCAGAGTCTGGGAACGAGAAGGGTGGTGACTCAATTGCTGGTAGCTGATTAGGGAGCTTTCGCTCCTTAAAAAGAGCATCAAGGCGCATTAGTGCCTTGCGATGTTCTGTTGATAGTTCGCTGCAGGTGTTGATGGATAAGATTCAGTTCTTGATTGTTCTTTTGGCTTGCCTAAGGGGGAATGTTGCGTGGGGACGGGCTTACTTACCCTTCTGGCTGCGCATGACTGATGGAGAGTGGGGCAGCCTGCTTGATGGCCGCTGTTGCGTGTATGCACTCATGTCAATAGACTTTAAGTTGGTGTACGTCAGGAAGACTATCCGCCCACTGAGGGAGAGGTAGTCTGAGCACAGCAAGGCTGTAAAAACCGGTAGCAAACAACCGGTACACTCTTGGTTGCGTAAGGTTGGTATCGAACACTATGTTCCAATTCCCATCTGGTTTGGTGCCGCCCTCGCTGTCGAGGGTATTGAACCTAAGATTATTCAGAGTCACAGCCCAGGCTTGAACTCAATGGGTCGCAGACTTGCTAAGTCTTCTCGGAAGGGTCGGGGGAAGAAGCGTTCAGGTTGTCGGCTGCCCTTGGCTGCCATATCTGAACCCCTGTTTTTTGACTGTCCTGATCTTAAGATCTGTAAGGAACCAGATGTACTGAGGATTCTCAAACTGCTGAGTAAGCGGAGAAGCCGCAATCCTGTGAGTATTAGCAATAAGTCGGGGTGTCGCTGGTTGAAAGCATGGCGACTGGTGACTTTGCTGTAATAGTTTGGCTTTTCTAAGATTGAGTGTGATGGTGAAAAAAAACTGTTAAGAGATGCTAAGACTTCAATTGAGTCAGGTGGTTATTGGTTCATCACCCAATTACGTAGAACTCAAACTAAGTCTGATCTGATAAAAGCCCACGTTATTGCCCTCCTGCGTGCGCCCTGAAAAAAGGAGAGATTTGTATGCTTGCTCTTTAGAAGAATTAATTGATTTTAACAACGGGGTTAAGACCATTAACCAGTAGCGTGGCCGTCAGATCATTCGGGGTATCCTTACAAATGTCTTCAAACGGAAGTTCGACATTAACCAAAGATTGAGTATCACTGTTAAAATTCCCTTTTGTACTACTGTAGACAAAAACCGAGTTGTTGTTGCTGTGAGGGACTGGATTCTGTCACATGTTGTTCCAGTTTCGCTTGTTGACTTGTATGCTAGGAGGACGAGAGCAGTATGGATGAAAGCCCATACTGTCGGAGACATGTTGCATAACCAGAAGCCATTCGCGCAAGCACATGTTTTTGACTGTGTATGCGCTGGCTTTGAACTGCCTAAGTTAAATGGGCATGTTGCAGTCAAACTAAGCGAATTGGATGGCATTGACCCTTTCCTGTTTAACTCAAAAAATGTTCCCTTCCCTGGAACATTTACTAGCAAGGATGCTCTAAATATGGCTTGTAATACTGCCATCTCAGAGCTTCGACGGACTGGCGTGGTACAAGGGGAGATTCAGGTGAATTGGTTATCCGTTTGCAAGGCCAGGGTACCAAAGCCTGATGGTTGCGTTTTGAGTGAGTACGTTAAAGGTGTTGGGCAGTCTCTGTCCGGTTTGGTCCTGTCCCCCCTCGACCGCAACACATCAGAGACTTGGATTGAATGCCCCAAGTTGTATGAGATGGGACTTCGAAAAATGTACACTGAGAATGAAAATTACGAGACCATTCAGTCGTCGATAGAAATGGTCCTCACCAAGATGAGGAAGAGATATGGCGAGAACCACTTGGATGAGATCAGTAAGTGGGATCCCAAAGGTGATGTACAACATGCATACGTTCTGTCGAAGGAGAAGGACAAGGAAAAAAAAAGACCCATTGTTCCGTCTTTTTTCTTGAGCCCCTACCGGGCTGCCTCCGGTTTACTTTCCACGGCTTTGAACGCGCTGATTAAGCGGACGAAGGCACCAAACTTTAACCTTCGGGCTATCAGCGACCTAAAACCTGAGGTTTCCAGGATTAACCAACTGGTGCCAAGGGGCTACGGGCTCGAAGCACGCACATACGACATCAAAGAAATGTTTACTCAACTCCCCCACACATAAATTATCCTTGCTATTAGGTGGATGGTGGAACTGTTTCAGCAGGGGGGGATTAAATGGATTCGAATTAACCCCCGGAAGAAACTAGCTACATTTGGCAAGTGTCACAGGGAAGCCGGGTGGAAATCAATCCGACTGAGCAAGCTGGTAAGTTTAACCAACTTCTAGCTGGACAATACATTCTTTATGGTCTCTGGACTGATCCTCCGACAGAAGCGTGAGATTCTTATGGGTGGGAGGGCAAGCCCTCCCGTTGCTTGCGTGATGTGTATGCGCGCTGAGTTCACCTTTTTATCTGAGCTTGCAAGTGATGCTCGTCTGATTTCTGGGAAACGGTATATTGACAACCTGTTAATAATTGCCTTCTTCAAGAAAGGTGACCAAGTGAGCCGTCAGCTTGCCATGGATCGACTGGATCGCGTCACTAGCTGCTATCCCGATGGACTGCAGCTTGAACGCACGGACACGGGTACAGGGGTCCTTGATTTTTTTGAGACCCGTATGCTGGTTATTAACGAAGCAGCCCTGGTGTTGTCTCATAAGTTTAAGAATGAAAACTTGATCTGGGATGTTGGCCCCCTGAAATTCCAAACGTACAAAGATTTCGCCTCATTTGGGCCTCGTCTGGCGAAGTTTGCTATTGTTGCCAATACCATTCTCAGAATCTCCAATAACTCCAACCAAGTGGGGATCACGTTTCTCAATATCCTCAGCTTTGCTGAGCCTCAGCTTTCCTGAGGAGCTCCGAAAGGCAAACTACCCTGATAAAGTCGTGCTGGCAGGGTTGGACTGGATGCATCGGCGAGATGGCAGTAGGATCTGGAAATATATGTTTTGTGCGATTGAAACATGGCTTGCAGACAGGTAATCGTGGGTTATCCCACAGGGCCGGGTACGTGATACGCGGGAGATTTTCTGGATGCCAACTGGGCGTTTTTGGCTTGGGTTGTGTGCTCCACCATCGGAGTGAGGCACGCCGCTGGGTCTAGTGTTTTTGGTGTGACCTCCATTTTTCTACATTTGTTTCGTGGAGTACCACATTGTTTTCCACACGAATGTTTCTTGCAGGCAATCTTAGCCAAGTACCGGTCAGAAGACTTGGTTCGTAGGAACGTATTTAGCGTTCATAGTGGCCAGGTAACGCTCAGCAGACTTGGTTCTTCAAGGAGGCTGGCAGAGCGTCCACCCGAACGCCTTTTTCGTGCGAGAAATGAGAAGGTCGGGGCAGCCTGTGACCAAGTTTCAGACGGGCCAATGCATAGGGACTAGAACACCGGGTTGATGAGTAACATGTCGACCGGGAACGCCCGCGTACGGGTGAGAGTATGTCCGATATTTATAGGGGGTAGATGGTTTCATTCCTCAGCCTGAGTGGCGAATGAGCGGAAGGGTTGAGATCCTCGGTGGTGTGATGTCGAGGCATGTAGGGGTGAAGTTGATGTCGCCATGATAGTAAAACTCACGTCTTCCTCTTCTTAAGTTATATCCATTTTTGTGTGATTTTCTCTATCATAGGATGCATCGTCATACACCCAAGCATCAAAAACAGCAAAAAGACAAGTTTGAGAGCAATCTACACTAGGGGGAGATCAACGGAACATTCGAGGATGCATCGCCATACACCCAAGCATAAAAAACAACAAAAAGACAAGCTTGAGAGCAATCTGCACTAGGGGGAGAGTTGCGATTCACATGAGAGTGAAGAATTAGGCAAAACATGCACTCTACATCACCAAAACACTCAGATGACATCAACATGGAAGTTGCGATTCACAGCCAAGTGAGAGGACAAGCGAAACATGAAGAATAGGAGAGAAATTCACAAGCTTGAGCTCACATACACTAGGGAAATTGCAATTCACATGGGAGTGGAGAAATAGACAAAACATGCACTCTACATCACCAAAACACTACATGACATCAACATAGAAGTTGCGATTCACACCCAAGTGAGAGGACAAGTGAAACAAGAAGAATAAGAGAGAAATTCACAAGTTTGAGCTCACATACACTAGAGGAAGAATTGCGATTCACATGGGAGTGAAGAAATAGACAAAACATGCACTCTACATCACCAAAATACTAGATGACATCAACATCGAAGTTGCGATTCACACCCAAGTGAAAAGACAAGTGAAACATAAAGAATAGGAGAGAAATTCAGAAGTTTGAGCTCACATACACTAGAGGAAGAGTTGCGATTCACATGGGAGTCAAGAAATAGACAAAACATGTACTCTACATCACCAAAACACTAGATGATATCAACACAGAAGTTGCGATTCACGCCCAAGTGAGAGGACAAGTGAAACATGAAGAATTGGAGAGAAATTCACAAGTTTGAGCTCACATACACTTAAGGAAGAGTTGCGATTCACATGGGAGTGAAGAAATAGACAAAACATGCACTCTAGATC